ATCTCATCTGCTTCTCACAACAGTGTTGGGAGGCTGCTGGCAGTAATGCCAATTGTATAGGTGAGAAAACAGAGGCCCAGAGAAGCGCTGTTCAAGGACTTGCAGGCTGCTCCACAGGCATTATTAGAACCCAGGTGTCCTCAGGGCCAATCCCATGATTTTTCCACCCAATTTACTTCTTGAAGCCTTTGCCTCTTCTCTATTTACCCTGCAAATGGCCCACTTTTGTGAGCTCAGGGTGACCCCTACTGGCCCCACAGTCTGTCTGGTATGACCCACCTTCCTGGCAGGTGCTTGCCTAGATTTCCTGAGCCATGTTAGGAAGTGAGCCCCCTGCTGGTGGGTAGGGGAACCAAGACCCACTCACCTGTGGACTGGGAGTCCCGGCCAGGCTAGGACTAGCATCCATTCTGTAACAGTGATAGGGTGGGTGCTGGGGGCACAAGAAGCAGGCATGAGAGAGCTGGTTGGGGAGTTAACTTCACCTGTCTAGGGCTTCAGGCACCACTTCCCTTACCACCCCACCCCAACTCCCTCAATGCTCTTGCCATAGCCTGAGCTCCTACCCCAGAGGCCAGCAACCCCTGCATGGAAGAAGAAATGATACCCACTGGACCCCAGTCTCCCCAGTCAAACATCTCTTGAGGGAAGGAGGGAGAATGGTAAGGGAGGCCCTTCACAGGCTGAGTCTTTTTCAAGGTTTGGGGATAGCCAAGGTAGCAACACCCTGTGAGCCAGGGCAGCTCCAGGAGTCCAGGTTGGCTAGGCCTGGAAGGACACTGGCAGAGCATAAAAGTTTGCACCCTTCCCCCCATTCCCCTATTTCTAGCCTGAGACCTAGGAAGGGACTTGCCAGGATGACACAGCTTATGAGGGACAGGCTAGGCTCTCCAGCCTCCCATACAGGCATGTTGCAGCCATGAATTCCTGTGGAAAGCCCCCACATGGGCTCTGTACTATTATCTCCCTGCCACAAGGACTTCCACCCAATGCCCCTGGAAGGGCGCTGCCCTGGAGGTCTTGGGCTGATGCCATGGAGAAACCCCAGACTGGCCAGTGTCCAGCTGAGATTAAACAGATCAGCTGGTCTATACAGACAGGAGCACAGTGCCTTTCCTGCCCCCACCCTGCAGGTGGAGGAAGCTGGCATATCTAGGCCCTGACTCAGGATGTCCAGGGCCCAGAGCCCCACCCCTGCTTGGAAGGTCCAGAGCTGATATCTCCCCTGATATCCCAGTTGCTTAAGGGAACTGACGGGTACTGTGCATCCCAAGCCCGCAGCCTTGGCCCTTTGTGGGGCCCAGGCTGCAGCCCCACCTCTCTGGGTAGACACTGCCGATCTTTACAAGAGGGCACCTTGTACCACCCCATGGCCATCTTGGGAGCTGAGAAAGTCACCACAGGGGAAGAGAGGGAGTCCCCCAGCTCTGTGGAGCCCTAAGAGAGCAAGCTGCAGAACTGCCCATAGGGAGTACAGCCTGGTGCCCTAGGCCTGTGCTCCCGCAGGCAGCCCACCATGCGGCCACACCCTCTCCTGCTGACTCTGCTGGCCCCTCTGCCAGGCCCTGGCCTCCCCAGCCCCTCGTACCTGCACCAGCCTGAGGAGAGGCCTCTGAGAGAACCAGCAGTTAGAGCCAGAGGATGGGCAATGGACAAGAGAGCCTCTCTCTGTTCTCCCAACAAGGGCTGAAGTGTCTGTGCCTGGCGCCAGCCTGGCCCCAGCTCCAAACTCCCAGCAGCATCAGCATCGAGGGAGCTGTTGATGTCATGCAGGACCCAGCAGAGCTTAAGATGGGATGGGAGACCTCTGTTTCCTCGGGGCATCGCCTCCCCCTGGGGGGTGGGCAACAGCTGCAGGAGAACCCTGGAGACTCCTGGCTTGTTAGAATGTGGGAGTGTGGGTCAGGGAGTGGGTGTGCAGGCGTTTCGCGTATAGATGTGCTTTAGCCTGTGTGTCTGTCTGGTGTGTCTGCGTGTCCCCGTATGGCAAGGTATCGCGTCAGTGTGTGGTCCACGTAGATGACTGCCTGTGCTCTGTTGTGTGTGTCATGGTGACCCTGTTTGTATAATTTTTCTGTGTGTCTGTGCATCTCTGACTGTGTGTTCTCAGCGTGTGTGTGTGTGTGTGTGCCTCAGGGATCCTCTGTGCAGTGTGTTGACATGTCAGTGTGTATCCCTATACGTGTTAATGTGCTTGTGTGTATGTGTGTGAGCCCGTGTGTGGGTGTCTACATCTGTGAGTCTGCAGGTAAGTATGGGTGTCTATTGATACATGTGTGTGACAGAGTAACCACATGTGTGTATGTAGGTTATTGTGTGTCTGTACTCATATTGATGCATATCAGTAAATCTGTGTGTGTGTGTGTGTGTGTGTGTGTGTGTGTGTGTGTGTGGTCCTGTCTGTAAGACATGCTCCCTAGGGCATATCCAGGCCTGGTGTAAACCATCTGGGACTCTGGGACTGGTGTCTGGCTCAGTCCAGCTGACTTTGGTCTCTGACTGCTGAGTCCTTGGCCACTTGGGCCTTTCCCTGCTGGCCCCTTCAGGGCTCTGGCCTACTGTCCCCAGGACAGGGCTGGTTGGCCCACAGCTCTGCGGCTATGCAAGAGGAAGAAACATGGTCCTAGCCGGTAGTTGGCTCATGAAGTTGTTGCTGCCTAGTGTGATGATTAGGTCCTCATGGGTCCCTCCTCTCCCCCAGAGCTCATGAGGAATGCTCTGGGGAATGCAGGAGTTGACAGGGCCTGACACAGTCCCTGTTCTTCTGGAACTTTCTGTGTGGCTACCACATGCCACACCCAGACCCCTGCAATTCACCACTGTGGAGGGATCTATAGGGCTGGGGCCAAGGGGGTTGGTCAGGGAGGGACCTGAGCCTAGTGGTCCCGGGCTTCTCTGCAGGCTCTAAAGTGCAGGGCACCTGGAGGTGTCAGCCAAGGAAACCAAGTGGACAGTATCAGAGCCTACCATCTGCCAACAAAATAGAAATGTTGAACCAACACACAGATGGGCAGTGTGTCATGTTGGCAAAACACATACCCAGAACAAGGACATTTCTTTTCAGTAACAAGCCCCTGATTGGCCCTTCACTCAGCAGCAAAACAATGGCGGTAATAATGATAACAACCTAAATGTTTCACCACAAGCGCTTCGGAGCATCGCCAGCTGTAACAGTTCCCTCTCCACCTTACATCCCCAGCCAGATGCCCTCCATTTCCCTGTTCCCCCTTTCAGCTCAACTCCTCGAAGGCGTTGTCCAGACTTGCTCTCCATGCTTTTCCCTTTTCTCTCTTGAACCCATTACAAAGAGGCTTGCATCCTGATAGGGGACAAGAGAGGTGCCTTCGCATGCCAGGGCCAGTGATGGGTTTCCCCTCTTGCCCGCTTCTCTTCTGGGGGTGGGGTGGGGGGGGATCTGACACGCCCACTCCCCCACTTGGCTTCAGGAGCTGCTGGTTTCCCACCTGCCTCACTGACTGTTCTTCCTCCGCCTCTTCTGCTGGACTCACCTCCTCTTTTCACCCTTCCACACTGGCCTGTCCCCAGGCTCAGCCCTTGGACCCCTGTCTACACTTGTTCCCTAGTTGATCTCAAGCAGTTTAATGGCTTGGAACACCAACTGTAGTCAATAATTCCCAAGTGTCTCTCTCGTTCTGAGTCTCTCCTGAATTTTGGATTTAAATAGCTAACTGCTTCCTGGACACGTCACTAATTAGATGGCCAGAGGCCCCTCAGACTTAATGTGTCTAAAGCAAGTCTTGACCCACACTCCTTCCACTCTTCCCCAGCACTACCGCCTACTCAAAAGTTCAAGCCAGCAACTTGGAATCAGTCATCCTAGAAAGCTGGCACCCTCACCCCGCCTCCACTCCTCCAAGAAATCCCACCAGCCTCTAACTTCCATCCAGAAACCCACTGCTGCTACCACCCTGCCTGGGCCACTAGCATCACTTGCATGGATTATTGCAATAGCTGCCTTAGTGAGTCTCTATTTCTATCTTTACCCAGTACAACCTTTTCCCACCAAAAGCCAGAGTGACTCTAAAAATGTGAACCAGATCATGTGACTTTGTTGCTCAAAACCCCAGTGACATCACATCGCTTGGAGAATCAAAATCCAAAGTCTTTACGATGTTCTACAAGATTCCACCAACCCAGCTCCTGTCTCCAGCTCCACCTTGTCTCCATTGCTCTCCTCTCACTACACTCCAGCCTCTCTGGCCTCCTGGCTGTTCCTCAAACACAGTATCCTCTGGCCTCCTGCCCCTTGCTCTTACTCTACCTAGAATGCTCTTCCCCCAGACATCTTCAGAGCTGCCTTCCACTAATGTCACAGAGGTCTCTGCTCACATGTCACCAATCAGATAGGCCTTTTCTGATTACTGGTGACCAATTATCCTAGTTTGTCTGGGACTTCCAGGTTTCCTGGGATGTGGGACTTTCAGTGCTTAAACCAGTACAGTTCTGGGCAAACCAGGATGGTTGGTCTCTCTACAAAAGCAGTCCCACTCATTCCCTATCCACTTTTCCTGCTTTATATTTTACTTTGTAACATTCATCACTCTTTGACACCTTCTCACGTTAACGCTTTATTTTCTGTCTCGAATGAGAACATCAGCTCCACGAGGGCAAAGACTCCTCGTCCACTGTTGACTGCAGTACCTAGAACGGGGCCTGAAATATAGTTGGTGCACCATACATGTTTGACTAATGAATCAAGGAATGAATTGATAAGATACATTCCTGGACATATATAAAGTGGAAAATTACCCGACAACAAACAAAACTGACATAGGAGCCTATGTAAATGGAAGCAGAAACATATGTGCTACAGTGTCAAACGAAAAAAACAAATCAGATTTCAGAATGGTAGGTGTATCAGGGATACTATCTTTGTACAGAACAAAAGACATATGTACACATGTACTCTTGTGTACAGCCACAGAGGAAAGTCTGGAAGGCCATGACCCAAGGTGACAGTGGGTTAGGTCATTTTTTTTTAATCTTTGTACCATTGTGTAAAGCTTCTAAGTCCTGGTGGGAACTTTAACATACCCATTGCCCACCATCGCCCTCTCCCATCACCTTGACTGTGACCCCCACACGAGCAGCTCTCTGCTCTGAAGGCTTCTTGCTCCCTTCTCTGCACCAGCTTCTGCTGTTGCATCTGTCTTCCCTCTACTGTGATTGATTCATTTACACCACTGCCTGCCCAAGGCATGCCAATGACATACCAGTGACAGTGTGCACCAAGTGCCAGCTTGATCTGATTTTGTTCCCACAACGCCATAGGTTGGGAACTATCATCTTCCCTGTCAGGGGAGAAGACTACTGAGGCTTGAGGAGGTGAAATGAATTGATCAACCACATAGCTAGTTAGTGATATAACTGAGATTTGAACCCAGCCGGTCTGACTTCAAAGTCTGAACTTTCAGGGAGAAGTTAGGAATTCAGAAGAGGGAGGCATGAAGTTAGTGGGAAGGAAGTCAGGATGTATCCTGGTTAGTTAGGAAGGAAGACAATTAGGTAGCGAGTTGGTTGAAAGGGGAGGAGGCAAAGGAGAGAGGGATGAAGGGAAAAAAGTTAGGAAAAAAGAAAATTAGTAAAGAAGGAAGCAAGGGACGGAGGGAGAGAAGATTTAGGAAGAAGAAAGGGAATTAGGAAGAAGGGAGTTAGGCAGGAAAGGAAGTCAATAGGTAGTTAGGAAGGAAGTTAGCTAAGTCACCAGTTAGTCAGTTTGGCAGACCATCAGGTTGGCAGGCCGGTGTCCTGCTCACAGCTGAGCCTCTCACCTGAAAACTCTGCGTCCCAGCTCAGGTCCTGGGGAGCAGCCCCGAGCACAGGTCTGCTCTCCCGGTTCTCTGCATGGTCCCCCAGTCCTGAGTTGCCGGAACAGCCTGCCCAGTCAGGAGCGACCTGTCATCCACTCGCTCAGACTCCTGAACCAGCTCAAGTTCAGCCTCCCAGCCCCGCCGGCTGAGGCTGGCCGCGAGGCCTTCCAGTTACTAATTAACTGCGGGACCTGAATCACGATGCTGGCTGCACCCACTGGCTCCTTGAAGGACCTGCCCTGGGGATCCTCTGAACTTTTAAAAGCTACTGCACAACTTATGTGACCTTGGGCAAGTGACTTTAGCTCCCTGAGCCTCATGTGAATTGGTGATGATAGCGTGTGTCCTGAGTCACAGGGAGGATCTCTGAAGTCCCTTTCAACACTGTCACATTTTTATTGCCTGAAAGCTCACCCTCACCCTCCCAAGTTCAGCTCAAATGCTGACTCTCCTACACAGCCTTCCCTGATTCCATCCGCTGAATCACTTCTCCTTCTCATAGTGCCTGGAAACCATCCAAAGGGCTTGTTGCACACAGCTCTCCCCTCTGCCAGTCTCCGAGAGGACCACCAGCCTCTGTGATTAGCCCTGCCATTGACACCGGCAGGGAGGGGCAGCTCATGCCCACCTGAGCTAGCCTCATGCCTGACACCTCTGGAGCTCTTTTGTATTGAGCCAAACCTGCCAGCCAGAGCTCTCTTGATGGGCACCATCTTGGGAGAGCCACAGCTGGCTGAGACCCATGCCTCGCTCTGCCCTTCGGGAGACCTGATTCTCAGCTCTCCCCACCTCCCATGGACAGAAGGTTTTCCCTGGTTGATCTGAAGGTGCCCAGACTAAGGGTTCTAACTCCGGGCAAGGGCAGGGACTGGCCTGCTGGACAGATAAGAAAAGCTCCACCCAGTGACTCCTCCTCAACAGGCCACTCAAAGTCTGACTGTCATCCTGCTTTCT